GGTTGTTGTTGGTTGTTTGTTTGTTGTTTGTTGTTTGTTGTTTGTTTGTGTGTGTGTGTGTGTGTTGTGTGTGTGTGTGTGTGTGTGTGTGTGTGTGTGTGTGTGTGTGTGTGTGTGTGTGTGTGTTGTGTGTGTGTGTGTGTGTGTGTGTGTGTGTGTGTGTGTGTGTGTGTCGCCCACGCTGTAGCTTCTTGCGAACAACGGCCTCCCCTTTTCACACAAAGCCATTTCCACGCCGCCCATGATGACCACGACCACGACCACGACCACGACCACGTGACAGCAAGAACGGGGTGTATCTTGGCGATGCGTACGAGATCCCATCGTCTCTTCGTGGACAGCCGCTCTTTCCTGCGTGCACCGTCAAGAACGCAGAGCTCAAGTTCAACTTTGGCGCACAGCCCTTCAAGCACAGCCCACAGGTGCGCGCTTGTGTACATGTGTGTGTATGTGTGTATATGCGCGCGTGTGTGCATGTGTGTATGTGTTGATGTGTGTGCTGTGCCGCTGTTTTCTCAACTGAGCAATGCCACGTGCGTGCGTGCGTGCGTGCGTGTACAGGGTGGCTTCAAAGCGATGAACAATCAGCCAGACGCAAACGTCACAACCGCCACCGCTGCAGGTAAAATTTTGGGCTCAAGAACAAGCGCTCGCACTCCTGTAAACCATTTGCACCACACGCACACGTACACACACACACTCACACACACTCACACACTCACACACTCACACACTCACACACACTCACACACACACACGCACACACACTCACACACACACACACACACGTACACACACACACACACACCACCGTGGGCTGTGTCGCTGGTGCAGGTGGGGCGAGCGACACATGGAAGAAGTCCAAGGGCCCTGTGGCCCTCATCCTGGAGCCATCACGTGAACTCGCGGAGCAAACGCGCGACCAGGTGCGATGTGGTTGTGGTCGTGTGTAATGATCAGGTTGACTTGAGCTACCCACGTCGCACTTCTTGGTCATGTCACAGCAATGCATCTCCCTCTCTGGGCCTGCCACTCACCCCGTTGCTATCACCATCACCATCACCATCACCACCGCCACACCGCTTTAGATCCGTGCGCTGTCGTCGTTCATCAAAGACGTGCGTGTGCGGGACTGCCTGATGATTGGTGGCACCAATGCCCGGGACCAACTCAAGGCCCTTGAGCGCGGTGTTGACGTCGTTGTTGGAACACCGGGCCGCATCGAGGACTTTGTCAAGACAGGAAAACTCGACCTCAATCGCGTACGATGATGGTGGCGGTGGTGATGATGGTGGTGGTGGTGGCGGCGGCGATGTGTTGCTTGAATAGGCGGAGTTGCTGTGCATGCTTGTGTTGCATGGCTGGGTTGTGCTCATGTGGTGGTGACCCACATGCTCATGCCCCTCTCCCTCTGTGTGTGTGTGTGTGTGTGTGTGTGTGTGTGTGTGTGTGTGTGTGTGTGTGTGTGTGTTGGCAGGTTCGCTTCTTCATTGTGGATGAGGTTGACGCCCTCCTCTCCCAGGGCCACGAACAGCTGCTCGAGCGACTCTACAACAAGTGCGTTCCATGCACTGCTCACCATGCAGCGTTATGCGTGTGTGTACGTGCGTGTGTGGGTGTGCGTGCGTGATAGTATGCGCTTGTGTGCTCACTTTTAGCATCATTGCCCATGCTTGCACTGTCAGAATGCCGAAGCAAACGGCAGGAAACCGCCTCCAGGTACCCCACTTGTGTTGATGTGTTTGCGTGTGTTTGCGTGTGTTTGCGTGTGTTTGCGTGTGTTTGCGTGTGTTTGCGTGTGTTTGCGTGTGTTTGCATGTGTTTGCATGCATTGTGAACCTTCACGACGTAAGTTGAACCTCCCCTCCCCCAAACCACCACCACCACCGTCTTCTAATCTCAACGCCCATCGTGCAGATGGTTGTGTGTTCTGCAACGCTCCATTCGCCAGCCGTGAAGAAGCTTGCAGACAAGCTCATGTACCACCCGGTTTGGGTTGATCTCAAGGTCAGCAATTGGACACACACGTGTGTGTGTGTGTGTGTGTGTGTGTGTGTGTGTGTGTGTGTGTGTGTGTGTGTGTGTGTGTGTGTGTGTGTGTGTGTGTGTGTGTGTGTGTGTGTGTGTGTGTGTGTGTGTGTGTGTGCACCTTTGTGGAGATGTGCACGGAAGTGAATGCATGTGTGCATGTCCTTTCGTGTGCGTGTGCGGATGTGTAGACTAACTTGAACCTCACTTGAACCCTTTGTCCCATCTCCATCGTCGCTGCCGTGTGCACGTGCTCGGCGTGAAGGGTCTCGACTCTGTGCCGGACACCGTCCACCACGTCGTCGTGCGCGTCGACCCAAATGCAGACAAGTGAGTCAGCGTCCTTCGCTTGACAGACAGACAGACAGACACACACACAGATACACGCACATCTGCAGCGCAGAGTCTCACGTTCACCTGTGGCGCTTTGTCAGGTCGTGGCAGAAGAAGCCTGCTGCGCTGCGAACGGACGGCGTGCATGCGGGTGACAACACGCGACCAGCGAATATGACAGCAGAGACGACGAGCGAGGCAATCAAGATCCTTAAGTTCATGTACACGCTCAAGGCGATCGACGCACACAACATGGAACAGGTGTGCTTGTGTATGTGTGTGCATATGCGTGTGCGTGTGTATGTGTGTGTTCACATGTGTGTGTGTTGAGGAAGAGAGCTGTTCGGCGTGTTCTGTTTGCAGCATTCAACATGGCTGCTGCCTCACCCCCTTCCTCCGTGTCCGTTCCAGGTGATTGTGTTCTGCCGCACGCGTCTTGATTGCGACAACCTGGAGAAGTATCTTCAAGCGCAGGACAGCCCCGGCCCCGCCCACAAGTACCCAACGCGCTGTTTGCACGGCAGCCGCGGTCCCGAGAGGCGGCAGAACCTCGAGGCATTCAAGGTGCGCTGGTTGGCTGGTTGGTTCGCTTGTTCGTGAGTGACTGTGTTGGTGGCGTCGTCGGTTTGTGAGTGTATTGGTTTGTTTGTTTGTTTGTTTGTTTGTTTGGTGAGTTGGGTTGTAAATTGTGCCTCCGTGTCCGTTGTGTTGGCATTCCTTGCTGCCATGATTGCCGCTGCTGCTGTTGTTGCTGCCGCTGTTGCTGCTCCTCCTCCTCGCCCTCCTCCTCCTCCTCCTCCTCCTCCTCGTCCTCCTCGTCCTCCGATTCTTCTCTCACGTAGTCCACCCCCCCCTTTCCTCAACTGCCATCACCACCCTCATCGTCGTCATTGCTGCAGAATGGCGAGGCGCGCATCCTCATCTGCACGGACGTGGCGGCGCGCGGGATTGACATCACGGGCATTCCGTATGTCATCAACGTCACGCTCCCCGACGAGAAGGAGAACTACGTGCATCGCATTGGCCGTGTTGGGCGAGCAGACCGCATGGGACTCGCAATCTCCCTCGTCGCAACAACACAGGAGAAGGTGCACTGAGGAGTGGGATGTCGAGTGTTGCTTGTGGATTGGAAACGGTGGTGATCCAAATCAGACATGCCTCGCCTTGTCATGTGTGTGTGTGTGTGCGCGCGCGCGTGTGTGTGTGTCTGTCTCGCGCACACTTGAAGTCACACACATTAACTCACACACGTGAACTCACTCACACACACACACACACACACACTAACACGCACACACACGCACACACGCATCAGGTGTGGTATCATACGTGCCCATCGAAGGGCAAGGGCTGCCACAACACGCGGCTCAAGTCCCAGGGTGGATGCACCATCTGGTACGACGAACCGCAGGTATGTCAAGGATTGCGCATGTGTCATGCATGCACATGTATTCAACTCAACTCTCGCATTCATCTCAACACTGTCATGCTACCATCATCATCATCATCATCATCATCATCATCATCATCATCATCATCATCATCATCCTCCTCCTCATCATCATCATCATCATCATCATCATCATCATCGTCACCATCCACCACCAATGCCTTGGCGTCAACAGCTGCTGGCTGACATTCAGGAGCACCTTGGTGTTGTCATCCCAACATCTGATGCGTCCTTCAAGATTGAGCGATCAGAGTTTGACGGGAAGGTCAGTTGCTGTTGTTATCGGTGGTAATTGGTTGCTGCATGTGTTTGGTGGCTGGGCACGTGCACTCACGGCGCCAACAGCTCTGCCTGCTCAAAATGCTGCGCTTGACTGACTGCTATGTGTGCGTGTGCGTGTGCGTGTGCGTGTGCATGTGCGTGTGCGTGTGCGTGTGCGTGTGTGTTGTATTCATGATCAGGTTGTGTATGGTGAGAAGCGCAACGCGAATGCATACGCGTTCAAAGGCCACGCTGATCTGTTGGCGCCGTCCGTCGCAGAGCTCTCCGACCTCGAGGCCCGCGCACAGGTGTGAGCTGGACGGGTGGGTGTACAGATTTGGCGCAGGCGTTGTGCAGTTGTTCCTTCAAGACCGCTCACTGACACCACACACACACACACACACACACACACACACACACACACACACACACACACACACACACACACACACACACACACACACACACACACACAGACGTCGTTTCTGGAGCTGCAGTACAAAGGCACGGCGCGTGTGTGACTGATGTGAACACACCACCACCACCACCACCACCACCACCACCACCAGCACCATTGCTGTGTTGCCGCGTGTCGTGTTTTGTGTGTTGTATTGGCTACTTGCAGCAGTAAACAGAAGGAAGACAACATGAAAGGAGGCAAGGGGGGTCAATTGGCACAGCAGCAACAACACGTGTGTGCTCATCACGCACAGAATAAGACGAGAAAGGAACAACCCCACAGCACGGCACATGTGGTGACTGTTCATCGTTCCAACTAAGCAACGGACATGCACACACCGCCATAGCCTCAACACCTCCCACGACAGCCAGCCATGCACCGGGCAATGCACCCACCAAACGTTGCTGTTGGGCACCAGATGAACGCATGATGAGAGCGCAAGGCACCACCAACACCACCGACAGGGGCTTAATAGACAGGAGCAGAGGAAGACACCGGAACCAAACAGCGAGACACAACACCATTTTGAAGCAACATAGCAGTGGTGGTTGCAACAGGAAAGTCGAAGGTGCAAGTGTGGGCCAAAAGCGGTGTGGTAGGGGCGATGACGATTAACACGCACGTGCATAAGAACACAATCACAACACACACACACACATGCACACGCACGCAAGAGTGGCAAACGTCATGCAAGCAATCAGCAAGGCAGGGGCGAAGCACGAAGAAATGAAACACAAGGGGCCCAGTATGTATTCGACCAAAGCGAAAGGAGCGAAGACGAGACATAAAGACAACAGGCAACAGCAGGAAGGGAGGAAGGTTATAGGCGCATGGTGGCTGGAATGTGGATGAGCGAGGTAGGTGTGCTACATCTTGCAATCACCGATATCTGGAAACACAGCCAACAATGGCTAGCAGTTTGATGTCGCCCACAGCCTCGCGTTTGCTCTCCTCTGCCGCAGCCCGATCCGTGACAACCTAAAGTGGTGCGTCATGCGAATGGCAGCGTGAGCCGTGAGGTGGCAGATGACAAAGCAACATGCGGCAGTTCCTTCATCAAAGTGCCTCATGGCAAGCTACCCGAAAGCAAGGCATCCGAGCCAACCTTGCGGCGTGCGGGCGGGACGGCCTTCCCCTTTGGCAGCGGCTGCATCGCCAGGGCGAGGCTGCGAGCATGGAACTTCATCCCCGTCCTGTAATGGCGCAAGGGGAGCAGAAGGGGGGGGGGGGTTGGTGGTGAGGGACGAGCGTGGTGAGGGACGAGCGTGGTGAGGGACGAGCGTGGTTGCAATGGGTGCAGCTGGTGTCGCGATGCAAGCATGACACACGCACGCGTGCGCAAACGAAAGACAAGGGCCAACGAGACAAATGAAACAAGCGCAACACAAACGACCAACAAATCAAACGAAAGGCAAGGGGGAACGAAGACACACACAGACATACACAGACATACACACACATGCGTACAAACACACACACAGACAGACAGGCAGACAGACACACACACACACACATGCACACGCACGTTGATGAGGAGAGGCCGACTGCTGCGAGGATTCCGGAAGCGCGTGTCGCCTCGGCCTCCTTCTTTAATCGCTCCTTCTCCTCCACCTCCCGCTGCTGCGCTTCACTCATGCGCACAGCAAGATCTTGCATCAGTTCCCCTGGTGGTGGTAATGACGGTGACAAGTCGGAGATGGTGGCGTGTGAGCAAGAAAGCGGCGTGTACGTGGCGACGGCGCAGGGCATGGCAGTCTTGGGGGTCACTCGACACAGAAAACTTAACAAACACACACACACACACAAAACCTAAACAAACACACATTCACACACACACACACAAAACCTAAACAAACACACATACACACACACGCACGCAGCGGGGGACGTACGTTGTGATTCGAGGGCTGTCTCAGCCTGTTGAAGGGCGAGGCTTGCGTCACGCTCCAGCTCGCGCGCGTTCTTGAGTTTTGCCTCACACCTCTTCACCTCGCCGGCGTGTCCGTCCAGCTGTGCCTCGGCCTCCTTGCGCTGCTGCACGACTGTCTCCAGCGAGGACACGGTCTTGTCGAGCTGCGCCTGCATTTCAGCGATCTTGCGCTCCGCCGCCGCGCGCTTCTCCCGCTTCTCGCGCTGGCGCTTTTCCTCCTCAGCCTGTACACACACACGCACACAGTAGGAGCAGCCATAGCAGGGGCAGCAGCATGACAGCACGCAGATCAGTGAGTGTGCGACACAAAGGAGTAGGAGGAAGACGGACGCGCAAGACGATGAATTGCTGTGATGGCAGTACCACGAGCACCAGCACCAGCACTGGCACCACTGTGGTGAGGTTGTGCGCATACCGCTGCCTCGTCGTTTGCGTAGAGCTGGCCTGCGTTTGCGTCGGCCGTCACGCCTGCTGCGTTGCCCAGCACCTCCTGGTTGAAGTACTGCTGCTGCCCGGCCATCTGCTGCCGCCGCTTCTGCTCCTCCGCGTCCACCACAGCCTGGTTGCCGTATGTCGACTGCCCCGGCAGCGCGTCGTTGTCGTACATGCCCTGCCCGGCCGTCCCCGCTGTTGTTGCCACGGGCGCACCGTACATGTCGCCAGCATCTGCCGGCGCAGGTGTGTTGTCCTCCTCTGCATCCTCGTACAACAGCTGCTGTTGTGCAATGGGCACGTGCTTCATCACGCTGTACTCGTTTGCGGGCTGCTCCCCTGCATCGTCGTCGTCGTCCTCCTCCTTGCGCTGCACCTTCTTCAGCTTGACGTGTCCAAACGGGTTGGCTGGTGGCTGCGACGACGACGCTGCTGCCGTCGGCTGCACAGGCGCCCCATACACGTCGTTCGGGTTCATTGGCCCGCCGTTCACGGGGCTGCCGTACGGGTTGTTGTCCTGCGCTGCACCGCCCTTTGCAGGCAGCATCTGTCCATACACGTCCTCCGACCCTTGCTGTTGCTGCTGCTGCTGCTGGGCTGTTGGTTGACTCTTTGGCGTGATGGGCGCCGACAGCTGTCCGTATGCACGTGCCTCCTTGGCCTGGAGAACCGCAGAGGGGGGGGGGGTGAGTGGAGGGAATGATAAGGGCGTGGTCATGGATGGGGAGGAGGACAAGATGGGTGGTGGAAAACAAGTTTTGCTTCGAAGTGGGGCATGACAGCGTCGCCAACGCAAACACACACACACGCACACACACATGCACAAATGCACATGTGCGCACCTCTGGGACTTCTTCGTAGAGATCGCCCGTGATGCCGTCCTCGTCTGTCGCTGCAGACTGCTGTTTGATCGCCCGCTCAAACGCTGCAGGAGAAAGGGGGTGGGATGGTGGTCATAGATTGGAGCAAGGTGGTGGGATGAGGGCGGGGGGGGATGAGGTGGGGTGCAAGCAGCCGACTAAGAAGGCCCAAATACACTCCTCTGCACACACACACACACACACACACACACACACACACACGCACACAGAAGCAAACACACACACAACAGCAAACACACACACAACAGCAAACACAGACCTTCTCTGTCGAATATGACGGCAGCGCTCTTTGCCTTGTCTGAGAGCGCCATGGTTGCCTCGACAAACTCGGCATAGAGGCTGCAGCCGGCGTGGGCGAGCTCAAACTGCTGCGGGTGCTGCACCAGCGCCACGCGGTCCTTGCGGATCGCCCGCACAATCTCCACGAGGTCGCACGCCTTGTTTGCCTCCAGCAGCTGGCACGCCATGTCCAGCGCAATGAGCGTCCCCGACCGTCCAACACCGGCGCTGCAGTGCGTCAACAGCGGGCCCCCGACAGACAGCTGCTGCTCAGACCTGTTAGCGCACATGAACGTGAGCATGTGTTGGGTTAGGGGGAGACGTGCGTGAATGTGTGTGTGTGAGTGTGTGTGTGTAGTTGTATGTGACAGAGTGTATGTGTGTGTGTGTGTGTGAGTTTGTCCAGTCGTGCTGGTGCCAATCATGCGCGCGGGCACTTTGAGCCTGAACGCACCCCAATCCACGTGCATGTACGCATAGTTCACCTGTGTGCGTCGCGAATGAGGTAGAGGAGATTTGTTGCATCGGGTTTGCCGTCCTCTGTCCGCGGCACGCCGTGGTCAGGCTGAACAGCAGCAGCAGCAGGGTGGAGAACAAGCATGAGAAAAGTGGAAAAGAGGGGGGAGCTGGCGACGCGGGGAGTGGTGCGCGTTGTCACAAGCAACAACAAGGACCAATGACTAACAAGCACAAACCGTTCAGCCACACGATGGGACACGCATGCATACAAACTCACAAACTCACAGACACGCATGCATACAAACTCACAAACTCACAAACTCACACACGCACACTCACACAAACTCACAAACTCACACACGCACGCACACACACACACACACACACTCACTCGCACACTGACATACTGACAAATACCCACACCCACAAACACAACTCACAGACACACTCAATCACAACACGCGAGACGTACCCAGGAGTGGTACCAGAGATGCATGACTTTTCTGGTCTGGCCGCTGGTGTGTTGGATCTCAAGCAAGGTGCGAAGGTAGCCCTTGCCCTCACTGACGGCGACGGTGCGCACAAACATGTCTGCCACCTTCACCTTCTGACCGGGCTTCGGGGCCCAGTAGCGCTCACACTTTTTGACGCCCTTCTCCACAAGGCCCGTGACCATGGCAATGCAGGTGACCTTCTCCTGCCAGATCATGCGCCACCAGTTCTTGAGGGTCGCTGGCAGAGGACCCATGGCGCAGATGTAGTACTTTGGATTGCCATCCGCGCCGCGCACGTAGTTGGCGTTGACGTATGTGGTGGCCTCGTCGCCGTTCACCATGGGCAGCACAACGCGCGTGCGGGGATCAGGGAGCACGTCCATGTGCCTGTTGAAGCGCTTGTTGCGGACCACCTCTGGAATCACGTCGCGCGGCTGCACGTTTTGGCTGAGGCCCTGGAACCCTGGCATGTCGAGCGGGGTCATGGTCCACGAGCCGCGGTCGCGCACCTCGTCCTCGTTCAGGAAGTCGGCGCCCTTGCGCTCCGGCAGGTGCATTTGAACGGAGGACATGGAGGAGAGCGACGCCAGGGAAGATGTGCTTCCCGTGCGCTTCAGTGACTTTTTCCGGCCCATCCTGGCAGTCTGGGGGTTGTCAACGTCGAGGTGCGTGCGTGCACGATGAATGCAAAGGTGGTGGTGGTGGTGAGGGTGGTGGTGGTGAGGGTGGTGGTGGTGAGGGTGGAGGAACGGAGGAAGTTTGCTGTGCAGCACATGTTTTGATGTCAGCCATTCAACACTGCAGCCATCAACGAACACAACAGAGCAGATGGCCACAGCACAACAACTACACAACAACAGCACACAGACACACCACACGTGCACGACAAACACACACACACACACACACACACACACACACACACACACACACACACACACACAACAACAACACACACACACACACACACACACACACACACACACACACACACACACACACACACACAAAAGCAAGCTCACCTTCACTGGCTTGTGCTCGCTCGCTGGCTAGCTTGGTCTGGGTGGGCGATGATGGGCGATGATACAACAACACGACAGCAAGCGAGCAAGCAACAACAATCTCGTCTGGGTTGTTGTTTTGTTGTTTGTTGTTGTTCGTGGGAGGGGGGCGGCGGTATTTTGATGTTTGTTGTGGGTGTTGATGCAGCTGCGGATAAGTTGCTGAAAACCTCCATAATTTTCCGCCACTCTCCATAACCTGAACTGGGTAATTGACCTGCCCAGTTTGGGTGCTGGTGACTGAGGTCAGTCGACTCAATGTAAGACTGAACTGAGTCGCGGTACACAACCACACACACACACACACACACACACGACAACAAACAACAACCAAGAAAACCAACAACAAGCAAGAACAGCACCCATCACCACCACACCACCGCGATGTTCTCCTCCTCGGTGCTGGCGCAGAGGATTGAGGCCTGCGATTGCAGCGCAATCCATCCATGGTCACCGGACAGCTGCGTCGTGGGAACGGCGCACATCTTTCGCAGCGCCCTGCGCAACTCCGCACCCATGTACATGTCCCTCCACGCGCTGGCGGCGCTGCTGAAGATGGACTACCGCGCCATCGCCGCCCAGAGCGAGGACATTGGGCGCCGTCGTGATTCCGCAAGACGAGAAAGGGCCAGTGTGCAAGAAATGAGCGGTGCCGACGAAGGGCGACTTGAGGAAGAAGCAGTGGGAACGGCAACACCTGGAATGGCAGCAACAACAGCAGCAGCAACAACAACTGCAGCAGCAGCAGCAACAACTGCAACTGCAACAGCAACAACAACAGCAACAGCAACAGCAACAACAACAGCAGCGGCATCAGTAGTGCCAACAGCAGACGAGGATGGCAGAGGGGCGCGGCTGCGTCGCCTCCTGCGCGCCCTGGCACGCGCACTGCGTAAGGCCTTGTTACAGGTGGCCGTGAACACTGCACACTCGTCGCTTTTCCTCTCTGGCTTGGCAGCATCCATTATCGCCAGCGTGTGCGCGCTTCGGCGCATCTTCGGCACGCTGTACGTGTGCAACTTTGGGGCGCTCCCAGGCCTGCTTGCCTCGTGGTCACTGGTACTGGAGAAGCGCAGCCGCCGCCACGACTTGGCCGTGTACGTGGCCAACATCACCGTGCGCGTGCTGTTTCGCAAGCTGCAGCAGGAAGGCGTGGTGCACGCCATCCCAGATGGGGAGCGGCTCGTGGCGTTTGTATCCCTCTTCACGCTGCTCACCGCCCAGCGACAACACTGGTCCCACCAAGGCAAGCTCATGAAGACCATCCTCCAGGTTGTGGCGAGCGACGACGAGGCTTCCGAGGTTGCTGGCGGTGGCGACGGGGTGGCAAGGACGGCTGACGGTGGCGACGAAACAGTGACGAACGCGATTGACGGAACAGTGACAAGCAGGGTTGATGAAAGTGAAGCAGGGATGGTCGTGGGAGCAGTCACCACCAGTGGTGACGGTGAAGAAGACAGTGGTGCGCAGCTGCAGCCACAGCATACCAGTGCATGGCAGAAGTTGTATCGAGCAATGACAAAGAAGGTCGCGCTACAGGCGTGGGTACAGCGACTGCTTGAGTTCCGACGGCCTCGAGACAGCCTGTGCACGCACAGGACCACGTGTGCTGCCTCCATAACAAATGGCGTGTGTCACGGCTTAAGGCTTGGTGCAGGTGCACTCCTTGCTACCGTTGCCGCGAAACTGCTGCTTGGCAAGAACCTTCACCTGTCACCACGCCTCGTTGTTGTCCTGGTCACCACAACCCCGCTCCTACGCGCCCTTCGCTGCGCTCTCAGACACAAACACCGACGCTCCGCCCCCGCCCTTCAATGTGTGTGTGTGTGTGTGTGTGTGTGTGTGTGTGTGTGTGTGTGTGTGTGTGTGTGTGTGTGTGTGTGTGTGTGTGTGTGTGTGTGTGTGTGTGTGTGTGATCGTGTGTGTGTGTGTGTGTGTGTGTGATCGTGTGTGTGTGTGTGTGTGTGTGTGTGTGTGTGTGTGTGTGTGTGTGTGTGTGTGGTCGTGTGTTGATTTTTCACAAGCGCCAACTCATCAACTTGTAACCTGTGTTTGCGATGCTGCTTGTCTCTGCGATTTAATTCATCCACCCTTCTGGTATGTCTCTTTCCCTCCCTCTCTGTGCCGCTGTCTGGATTGCATCAGCTGCTGTCGTGTCTGCGTGGATGGCGGCCGTCTTCAACACGGGGCTTGCCCACTACATCATGGGCCGCGCAGCAGAGGTGTGCACGTGTGTGTGTGTGTGTGTGCACGTGTGTGTGCACGTGTGTGTGTGTGTGTGTGTGTGTGTGTGTGTGTGTGTGTGTGTGTTTGTGTGTGCGTGTGTGCTTAGATGCAGCTACAGTCCTCATATGAAACGAATTTCAAACCCTTCTTCTTCATCACTTGTCCATCAGGCGTTCCTGGCGTCGCACATCACAGTCTCTCATTACGTCCCGACTCAAGTCATCGATGCTGCCTTGTTCGCCCTCTCTGGTCTGGTGTTGGCTTGAGTGCTCGTGTATGTGTGTGTATGTATGCGTGCACGTGTCAATGTGCGTGGGTGCATGTCTGTGTGTGCATGTCTGTGTGCACGCGTCTGTGTGTGTGTGTGTGTGTGTGTGTGTGTGTGCGTGTGCGTGTGCGTGTGTGTGTGATTGTTACTTGTATTTGCGTGTGTGCTGTCATGAGGCACCAAGCCAGTACCATCATTCCTGTGGCATTGCTGACATCATAATCACCCACCGTCTGTCCCTTGCAGCGATGGTGATTGTGCACTTTGCGGTCGCCGAACCAACATGCCTGCCCACATCATACTTTCGCTTCCTCGATCGCATGACATCAGGTGCACGGAGTTGAATGAGCGCGTGCGTGCGTGTGTGTGTGCGTGTGCGTGTGTGTATGTGTGTGCGTGTGTGTGTGTGTGTGCGTGTGTGTGTGTGTGTGTGGGAGCAATGATGAGCGGGAGAGGGTGAGACATCAATTAAGGCATACAGGCACACAAACAGGCACACAGATAGAGAGTGTGTGTGTGCGTGTTTTGTTTGTTTTGTTTTTGTTTGTTTTTTGTTGGGAGTTATCGCTCACTCTGTGTGCGCACGCACACGCGCGCGGGAGGGTTCTCCACGCTTGCATCGATCGAGACGTAGTCCGTCCTTGTTGTCATCACACAAACTCCCTGCTAGCAACGGCGAGGGACTGGATGGAATGAAAT